AAACCCCACCTAGGGGAACCAAGCTAATGGTCCCAAAGCTTCAGAGAGAAGTAGGCCATTGTCCCCAGCAGCAGGGAGCAGGCCCAGCCCTGCTGTGGGATGAGACAGCAGTCTGGCAGCAAGTGTCTGACTTCTCCCCACAACATCCCACCCACAGACTTAAGTAGACTGAGCTGGGATGCCTTCTTGACATAAAGCTCTTTTTATACCTCTATGAGTGTCACTGGTTTGGTTTCTCTAGACAATCCAGCCTAACACACCCACTGGTATCAGTGCATCTGGATTTGTGTGCATTTGAGGTGCCATGACCCGGAGTAGAGAACCAGGGTAGGGATGTAGTGACCCCTTCTTTTTTGACACGTTATCCCTTGATAATGTGGCATATTTTCTCTAAACATCATTATTAGGTGTCTACCAATGTTGTAGAGTCTCACATTCCTTTAACAAGAGTTGTAAGAACCCCCAATCGAATGATCCTAAAAAAAAAAAAAAAATTAAAAAGAAGAAGAAAGAAAAGAAAAAGAAAGCCAGTAGAGTTCTGGGAAGATGGCGCCAAAGTAGGATCGCCAGAGTGAAGCGCTCGCTGCAGAGAATGGGAAGACAGTGTACACAGATGAATCCTTTATTCTCATATATTCAGAAGCCTGACAGGCTGAGTTTCTGAGATGGAGGGAGGCCTTCATCCTTGTGAGTTGGAGATGAGTCCCAATTACAATAATTAATATCGTTCTCCACTATACCCTCCCATTATAGTGCTGCCTTAAAGTTACTTCTTACAAGTACATGGCTGATTGCTATGTAGGTGGCAGCTTGAACTATGGGAGCAGACACCTGCTATTGATCTCTAGGCTCTGAAGACAGCCACTCCCCCTTACCTGCCACCAGCACTGGTATTAGGTTACTCTTCCAATATACTCAGGAACCTTTAGGGGGGTAAAGCCCACTTTGTTACATATGTGATTCCTTGTAATTAGGGGGCTTGCAGGACCCCACAGAATGCATATAAGCCTTGGTTGGAAATATCTTCTCTCTCTCTCTGCATGGACCTGGATCCTGGAGTCCTGGGAGTCCCAGAGGTGAGCTCTTGCATGCCTTACCTTATCTGATGTCTCTTTAATTTTACCCCTCAATTGCACAACCCATTCAATTGGGGGGGGCTGGTACCCCACTGCTGCTTAATCACCAGATTTGTGTGTGCGGTAGCT